TATGTGTATGTATATGTATGTGTATGTATGTATATGTATGTGTATGTATATATGTATGTATGTATGTATGTATATATGTATGTATATATACACACACTAGTAGAGTGAGAGAGAATAAGAGCAAGAGTGTGTTTCTTCGCCTCCCTCTGCTGATTTTAGACAATTGTTCACACTGAGGAGATTTCTGGACCAACGTTTGCACGTGTGCTCTGTTCTCAGGATGCCTGCAGGAAGCCTCATCAAGTGTGTGGCCATAACGGCGAAACCTACAACACAGTGTGCGACGCCTTCACCGACCGCGTGGCCGTGGACTACGACGGCCCCTGCCACGCCGTAGGGGTCGTGTCTGACGTGGCCCACGACTCTGCGTGCAGCGTGATTCCCTGTCCCCCGCTGTGCACTCCAGGCTGCCAGCCGGTCACCCCGCCTGGTGAGCGCGCTGCTGGCAGAAAAATCACTTTTGTCAGACAAGGTTCCCTTCACTGGATGGGTTCCTCATGACGTGTAGACATCATCAGTTTCTGGAGGTTGTGTTGAATTAATCCATGACCTCTGACCTCTTTCCAGGAGCTTGTTGTCCGATATGTGCCAGCATGCTGCAGATCCTCTGGAACAAAGAGCAGATGAACACTTTCTCCAAGGTACAAACGGGTCACACTTCACCTCCGTCACTCGCGCCACAAAGCTGCTTCTTATTCCACCTGAAATGAATTTGCAGATAATTCATGTGCACATTTTGGTTAAACCGTGTTCTGCATCTGGATTCTGCTGGTGGTATTGGATGTAATTACAGATGTAGACCACTTGGTGGGGCTATAATTCCTCAGACCGCACAGAGAACACAGTGCTGTTACTTCAGGTTTAGTAGCAGTGTTGTTACTGAAGGACCAGATACTGTTAAGCAGAAGTAGTTTTTCTGTTTGTGTCCAAGACAAAACACACAGAAACACACACACACACACACACACACACACACACACACACACACACACACTGTTAACCCTCAAAACAAGTCCACTGAAGCAGAGTAAATGGATGGTGTGGACCGTGGGTGTCCCGGTCAAGTTTGGCAGTTTTTCCACACAGCGTGTTGCAGGTATACAGTGGTGCCAATAGAACAATGCTGGGGCTGTCCCGAGGATTTAGTAAACGGCGGTGTTGTGAGGCTGATGTCTCGGGCAGCGTGATGCGTTCTCCGGAGGCTTCCGCTCATCTTCCAACACGAGCAACGAGGGGCTTGGCTGATGACTCGGGATGGACTCGGCCAGACTCGTTCCCAACCAGACCTGTTGAACTGCACTATTTGCCTGAGGCCTGCTGATGCCTAAACGCTGACATGTTGGCTGCTAATAAGTCCCACCGGCATCTCATTCCGGTCAGCTTAATTATGCGACAAAGCCCCTTTTTGGCTGTCTGTCAACTTGGCTGTAATTCACATGCACATCATATGAGGGCTCAGCATTAAGCCTGCTAATACCAAACACAAGCACAGCTGATGTGATCTGCAGCTGCGTCCATACAGGAGAATATGAGCGCAGCTGCGCTGAAGACACAACTTTACCCAGCGACACCACTTCATTCATTTCTCTTTCATTTATTCATTTCATCCACTCCATTTGTTCATACAAGTGAAACGTTAGTGTTGGGGCCAGCCTTTGGTGTCTCCAGAGGGAGCTGTGCGATGGCTGGTTAACGTCCTCAAGTGATGTCACTTGATTCAGCGTCCTGCTGGGTCTGAAACTACAAGTTTGACAACGTTTATATCCACATACAGAGCTGACCGCCATGTTTCTACAGTAGCCCAGAAAGGACAAACCAAACCCTGGATCTAGATAAGCCCATTCACGTTTTCATGTCCGCCACCGTAGTTCTCCTGCACACTTCAGTTTCACTTAGTTGCAATCTGCAACCTCAATTCCCACACGTTCACCTTTAATTATTCATTTATTCAGACGCCTTATGTACGTTTTGAGCACACACACAGACACACACCATCACATCTCATGCCTGATAAAGTCTTCATAATGCATAGTTTGGTTCGTGTTTAATATTCAGCCTTTGCTCCTTGATTTGAATGTGCCTCCTACTCCTCATCAAGTCTCATTAGCAGTGGAACGTCTGAGACGTGGGCTGAGATTGAGAGGTCTCAGAGCCGGACTAGTTATCCGCTCCCTGTGGAGATCTACGCTCATGCTTGCTGCTCACTGGAATTCCAGCCATTTAAATATGAAAGTAATTTGCCAGTTTAAGAAGAGAAATTCTTGATTTAAGGATTTTAGCTACACACCTATGGACGCTCCTGTCTGTCGTTCTCAGTCTGCTTTGTCTTTATTTATAATGTTATGAATGATTATGAAAAGAAGAAAAGCTGTTATTAGTTTGTTTGTTTGAATTTGAGGATTTCTTCAATAAAGAAACAACTCAAAAATGTATAGAGACATATTCCTGAGGCAAATAATAATAGAGCTTCATGAAAGGCTAATATTAAAGCCACCGAAACTGAAACAAATCTATATATATATATATATATATATATATATATATGAATAATACAACATGTTAATACTCAACACAGTATGTCTTTGTTCTCAACATATTACGATATTGTTCTTGAAATAGTCAAATCTAAATAACATGATGAAAAGTAAAATATTACAATTTTATTTTAATGCTACTGTTCTCATAAGATGACTTCTTCTTAAATGGATGACTTTCTCTCTCACAGTATTTCAGCTGTTTCTCAAAATGCTTGTTGTTCTGTGTCACAGCACAGATTTATTTCTACAGAGCGAGATGTCCGAGCTACTTGGAACTCATTGAAGACATTGCCACTCGTAGTCCTTGTTTTTGTCTTTAGAGGTGTAACCTAAGCTCAGTGATGACCGAAGCCTTTAATGGCTGTTTCCTGCTTCTACGTTCAGGAAGCAGGTTTATTGGTTTTAATTGAAATGAACCCAACATGCAGTATTTTCTTTGCTGACATTTTAAAACTGTGTCTGATCACTCCCCGTCTGTATGACCTCTGACCCCTGGGTGCAGCTGAACAAGAACCAGCCGGTGACGGTCTACGACGTCCTGCAGATCCTGAGTCTCCATGTCTCTGTGCCGCAGTGCGACGTCTTCGGCTACCTGAGCATCGACCACGAGATGGTGGTCCTCATCGTTCCGGTGGACCAGCAGCCGACACCGCTGCAGGTAACACACACACACACCCACTCCAGATTCAGTCATTTAGCTTATTATTTGATTGTCATGTCTATTTAGTTGCTTTTTACTGAAGTGAGCAGAGATTATGACGGCCAAACCTCCTGCTGATAATAGCTGCTGATAGCCAATGTTCTGTGTCTATTTCTGTGTTTCCTTTACAAAAAAGAACTCGTATCTAATAATAATGACATTTATTCTGGTGGGAATGCCTCATTGAGAAGAATTAAAAGCAAACTGGAGTCATGAGAGGTAGAGTAACCGGCTGATTGTTTTCAAAAGTAACTTTTAATTCAGAAATAGATGGTCCACCTGCAACATATCGGATAGACGTTAAAGGACGAGGCTGGCAATATTCACTATTTTGTCTGTCAATAGATCTCATGTTCAGACCCAAACCAACAGTGAATGTATCTACTAACAAAGTGTGTGTGTGTGTGTGTGTGTGTGTGTGTGTGTGTGTGTGTGTGTGTTTCAATAACCTATTCAAGATAATATAGGGTGATGAGGAAATGGCAGTAAAGATGTTGAGGATCGTTAATTTACGCACACATCAGCTTTTTATAGATGAGGCCTGATGTGAAAAGGGTCATTTTTAAAAAGTGGGTCACCAGAAAACTTTAGACGTTCAGCGTTCCTTCTGAAGGAAATGACTGAGCCTTTTTTATGTTAAACTATATATTTGTGAGCAGTTTTAACAATTTCTTCAGTAGGAACTAATGAGCTTAGAGTTGACAGACAGGAAGTCAGAGAATATTGAGAGAAGGAACAGTTTGGGTCTTTTCATGGGATTTATTGATAAGAACAATAAATAATATCACTACACTTGTTCTTCTAATTGCTGGATGCAGACCAACCCTTTACATGAGATCACATGACACTGTCGCTTTATTACTTCATTACTAATAGAATTCTAAACTATAGCACTATGAACTATTTCCTCCGCAACACATTTGACATGATGTAACTCTCTGTACATGTCTTTGTACACATCCACATTATAAACACACAGCTGTATTGACCAATCTGTCCCCTTCACTGACTCCTTCTCCACAACATTTACCTTATTATCAACGAGTGATAGTTATTTGTCATACAAAATGTCCAACACTTTCTATGACTGATAAGTTGGTATTTCTGACAAGATGGAAATCAAATGATCAATATCCATATGCTACAATACCCATAATACACTAAAGATGGCAATGACCTATTTAATGTGTGTAATCTATCACATCCAATGTTTTATCCATTTTTTTAATTACGTTTGAATCGTGGTTTTGGGAGTGTGTATGAATCGATATCACAAACACTGCCCATACTCAATATATATTAATAGTAATATATTATATTTTGATTAAAGGAACAGTATGTGTGATTTAGTGGCATCTAGTGGTGAGTTGCAGATTGCAACCAACTAAACACCCCTCAGCTCAGCTCTCGCTTTCCAAGCAGGTCAGAGAACTACGGTGGCCTACAGGTAGGGGGAGCTGTCTTTAGGATGTTAGTGCAACTAGGAGCTACTCTTGTCCATGCTCTGCTTTTCTATATGACTAAATGATCCTTTTAAAAACATTGTATTTCAAAAACAAACAGGATTAGAATTTATCTATATTTTGAATATAGCTAAATATTGTTTCTAGAAGTTCATGAAGAACCCAGACATCCGTCAGTATCAGCCATTCCTCCTGTCCTCTGTCCTCCTGTCCTCTGTCCTCCTATCCTCTGTCCTCCGTCCTTCCGTCTTCCTATCCTCTGTCCTCCCGTCCTCCTGTCCTCTGTCCTCCGTCCTCCTTTCCTCCCGTCCTCCTGTCTGATTTGTCTCAGCCAGCAGAGAAGTTTACAAAACCAGATCTTTTATCTGATGGTGCGTGCTGTGCTTGTGGTAGCATTGCAGCGGTGGATGAGACTGTTCAGAGCCGATTGAATCAGGTTTGACTTTTGTTTACATGTGCGTGCTTGTTGAACAGATGTATTGATAAAGTATTGTCTCCTGACTCGCGGACGTTTTATTGCACATACAAGATGGCGGACTCCGTGGAAGACGACTGTGTAGATACAAACGTCTTTTTCTACGCTAACGAAAAACCCTACGATTCTTAGTTTCAGGTGATTATACACTGATTAAAACATAGTTTTGAATATTGTATTCCATTGCTGTTAATGGATCCCCCTAAATGTGACACAATGTTCCTTTAACATGCAGTAACATTTTACCAATAGCCCCTTCATGTGGCTAGTTATTTACATTCAACTCATGAAGGATTAAAACTCCTTTTTTTTTCTACAGCACTCGTCCTATTTATACCTCAAAGAAAATGTATAATATATCCAATCTTCACAAACCCGGTACATGTAATTCTTCTCTGTGCCTGAAAACTATTTCTGTATTCATTTATTGATGATCAGTACTTATGGCTGCCAAAGACTTGTAGGCGTGGCCTCCTGACTCAACTCATGAATACGTTTTATCAATAAGGTAGCGCTGTAGTCACAGTATTACCTTCATTATTATCATTATCTAAAATGACACGGCCACTGCTATGATTTACTTTACACTCACACAATACATCCATGACTGTAAAATCCTAAAAATAAGTCGTATCTGTCTTCAGCCGTCTGCATCATTTCAAAGGTTTGCAGTTCTCTACCAGCATATGGGCGCGTGCATCCATGGATCTGACTGTACAGTACAGTGCAAATATAGAAGCGTGTAATTATTATTATTATGACCGGAGAAAACCTTGTAGACTGATGTGATCTCTGAATAACTTCGCCATGCCCTGGTTTATTAGGGCAGTTCCCTTTTCTTGGTGCATGGGAGGTGATAGTGGCGTGATTCATTCATCAAAGTGCTCCTACCAACCAGACGTGTCATTATTCCTTCCAGCTCTCTTAACCTTGTGCTGCTGCAGCGTGAACGTTAATATGACAGAGATTCAGTCGCTGTCTAATTTCATATCTGCAACACCTAGAAAACACTGTAGGTGAGACGGGAGGTAGAGCTGAAAACTGCTGCCTGACTTGAAAGCATCGACAGTTTCTTATGAAGCTTAAGAACTGTCAGAGCAATGTGTTCCTCTCTCTCTCTTGTTAAAAGTCATGCTAGCTCACCCAGCAGTCGATCTCTCCCTGCAGTTCACGTCAACAGAAGATACTTCAGGTCATCCTAACGAGCTGGTGTTTGTTGTTGTACGTGAATGAATGCTCTGTTCCACACAATCCACAGCAAGAAGCAAACATAGATACTATGTGAGCAATACACATTGGCATTGGACATGTTTTAGAGATAAATCAAAAAGTTGCACTCGTCACCTTCCACAGCATGATATCAGTCATTTCTGTTTTAGCGACACTTCCAGTTGGTAACCGTCAAAGGGAGGCAAACAGAATCAACTTCTGTAGTTAAAGCTGGCGTCATGTCTGCTATAAATAACATCTCCATATTTTCATATTGTCTAATACCATAGCCGTTTGATTCAACCCTTTGATGTGTATGATCATACTGCCGTGATCATTCTAGCACACTAGTCTGAACACTGAGGTGGAGCACCTTTGTTTTGAAGATTTTAAATGAAATTGTATTTAATTATATACAAATTGAGATTTCAATTTTCTCTAAAATAGTTTTTTTTTATCACTCACTTCATATATTATTTGATATGTATTAATTTTGTTTTATTTATTCATTTTAATTAATGTATTTATTATTGAATGACCGACGTCAGTTCTTGGTCGCTTTTATTTTGAAGTGATTTAGCGTGTGGGGCTAGTCTTGGCGTGTGTCTTAGCGTGTGGGGCTAGTCTTGGCGTGTGTCTTAGCGTGTGGGGCTAGTTTAACCGTCTTTTCTGAAATCAAAGCATACAAACACGTCTTCTGCTCCAGGCTCTTCCTGCTTTCCTCCAGATATAAAAGAGGAGCAGAGTTGCAGTCACCAGAAGAAAGGCCCAGCGTCCTGAACACTGACAGCAGCTTTTTATTATATGCTCTATCTATGGCCTTAGAGAAATATTCAAAGAGAGACTAACACAGCAAGAAATCACTTGTGATAGAAGGAGGGAGTCATGAAGATTCACATCAACATCGAGGCAATTGTTCACATTAAAAGAACGTTTGTTTTTGAATGGACAGCACATCTTCTTTGAGTTGCAGAAGAAAACAATCGACATTTTCACCAGCTTTCACAAGTCAACATCATCTTAAACAAAGTCAACATCTGCACCAGATCAGCTGGTCTTATTTGGCACTTGTCAGAATACCATACAGTAGAATAACGCTTAGAGCCAGGTCGCAACATCCGGGTCTGCAGAGTGAAGTCGATGCAGAAGGTTGTTATATTGTTCAGCTGTCTGCTTTAGCTCCCGGTGAACAGAGCAGGAGACACTGTGACCTCAAAGCAACAGTATTTCCGTTATGTTGTAAATAAACAGTAAAGAGCATTTGAAATAACCTCAGTGATTAAGAATGTATTGACTGTGGCTGCCTTTATCTCTCCGTTAAAATCCAAAGTGTCATTGAAATACAAGCATGCTTCCTGACAAAGCAACGGTAGCAAATATAATCCGATTCATTTAGCACCCACGACAATGTGAGATACCACTGTCATGTTTTATACTGAAGTAAAACAAGATTCGCATCTTTTCGTGTGATTCTTTTCTTTATGGATCTAAACTTTACCCTCAATAGACATTAGAGTTCCTGACCCCGCTGTAAAGAGTGAATTCTGCTTATTGTAGCCAGGTGTTACCTAATTAAACCCAGAGTAAGAGTATGAACGTGAAAATGAGCATGTCGTGTATCCTTTTAAGACCTTTAGGCCCAATTTACACCTGGTATTAAAAATAGACGGTACATAAGAAGTGGACATAGTCACCGTGGTGTCACCCACTGGTTTGTGGACTGCCGTTATGAAGCCTTGAGTTCGTCATTTTGGGCCTAGGGCTGGGCGATATAGCAAAAATCTTAGATCACGATATCGGTCATTTATATCTAGTAGACGGCGTAATTGTGTATTACAATATCTAGATATGTGATTTCATTACGATAGGATTCCATTGGAAGACGAGAAATTATCATATTGAATTGTCGGCATTCTTGCTTTTTGCAACTAGAAGTGACAAGAGGGTGAAGCTAATTACAACCAAATGCTAGATAAGGCATTACATTTATCTTCCATGAAGTGAAAACACACTGTGAAAGGGTTAAAGTTCTAAGACGAAAAACAACCCTGGTAGTGACCTGTCAATCACTGTGTAGCCCCGCCCTAAAGCATCCCCTGCTTTATGGTCTGTGTGACTCTAAATGGACCATAATGTACTAAATGAACATCATGCTGTATTGAAGAAGACTTGAAACTAGAGATTGAGACCATAAACTCATGTTTACAATGTTTACTGAGGTAATAAATCAAGAGAGAAGTAGAGTCATTTTCTCATAGACTTCTATACAACCAGAGGAGTCGCCCCCTGGTGGACACTAGAGAGAATGCAGCTTTAACACATGAAGCTTTGGCTTCACTCTGCAGAACCAGAGGTTGCCGTATGAAAACAGCAGTCCTACAATATGCTAGGTTTATCCTCCCAGATGTTTTCAGTGTCATTGCCCTTAATCAGTGCAGTAATTTAGCAGCAGACATGTTGTGATTAAACATAACATTTGGGAGGAGATTTGCTCAGTGTTTCAATCTGTTTAGACTGTTTGTGCCTCCACAAGTTTGCTCCTCGCTGTGCGTATGCCGCCTGTTTTCCACGTCTATATTTTAGTTTTATTTTAGTCTTTTTTTAACCTGTGGTTCTTCTCTAGCTTCCCTCTTTAAAGCCCATGGCAATAATGAACCCAACCTGTAGGACTGGCAGCTTTACATTGAATCATTTATACTCTTATACTTTACAAATCATGTTGGTAAGTCAGACAGGCTTCCAGAGAGATCTGACTAAGAGTAAAGGCCACTGAACTATATAAGCTGCTGTGCTACAGCGACAAGGACCACTCAGTTCTGACAAATATTCAATTTGAATCATTAAAATAATGGAACACATTGCAACCTTTTTGTCAACAAAAAGATTTAAATAACAGCAGAAGAATAACGTCTCTCTTGAATGGTAAAATGTCACTGGGTTCAGACAGAAGAGCCAGAAGAAGAAGAAAGACAAATCAAACAAGATTTAAGCTTCTTCTGGTGGCTGTTAGTCTTAGCTGTTACTAGGCAACAGCAACTCCAACTTGTTTGAGAAGTAAAGTCATTTTCATCCCTGGGTTGATGGAGGTTTTGCCAAAACAAAGTCTCCACATCTGAGCACTGCACACTTAGCACTTATGCTGTGCTCCTGAAATAAAACTCTGGAAATGAATAATGCTTTTCATGCTCAAGTGCAGCCAGCAGCCCTAAAGCTGAATGAAGAAGCACAGAAAGGCTTTCCATCCAGTCACCAGGGTTATACCAATTAAAGTTCTTTGTCTTCAGTCATCATGACCAAACTAATGTTCCCACATCAAAGTCCACATCGAGCCAGGTAACATGCAGCTGCTGGTTTTATTTAAGATACTACGGGAGGTGACTTGTGTGGACTTGGGGTAGCACAGTATCCCAGAATGCATTTGTGTCCAGCAGGGATAGCAGAGAATTTGACCCTGTCTCATAGCTGTTATTTTCATAATAAAAGCCCCAGACATATACGCCTCTAGGTCTGAACAGTGAAGCCAATGCAGAAGTGTCTTAAAGCTGCATTCTCTCTAGTGTCCACCAGGGGGCGACTCCTCTGGTTGTATAGAAGTCTATGAGAAAATGACTCTACTTCTCTCTTGATTTATTACCTCAGTAAACATTGTAAACATGAGTTTATGGTCTCAATCTCTAGTTTCAAGTCTTCTTCAATACAGCATGATGTTCATTTAGTACATTATGGTCCATTTAGAGTCAAACAGACCATAAAGCAGGGGATGCTTTAGGGCGGGGCTACACGGTGATTGACAGGTCACTACCACGGTGTTGTACGGTAGGGAGTTGTCCGTGTCCTTACAAGTTACCCCTTTCACGGTGTGTTTTCCCTTCATGAAAGTGAAAGGTAGGGTTGGTAATCTTTTTTTTTTAATTGTTCTTATATATTTGTTGAAATCCTTATTACAGCCTGACACAAACGCCGGCCCAATCACTTTATTCCAACCGAATGCAATGATTGGACAGACTACCTGCCTGTCTACCTGCACGTATTCAGCACTCATTGCTGTCTTCCACTGGCTGCTAGCTTGACAGCTGTGATGTCTCACAGCAGCCATGTTGGTTGTTTACATTCATAATGATCATTTTTTAGCATCCAGTTTGTAATAAAACCAAAGTGCCTTTAGAGCCCAATAAAAAGATGAACACACAGAGAGAGAGGCTGGCGGTGCTGCTGTGCTGACTCAGGTGGTGGAGTGTTGAGCGAGCTCTTTTCTGTTTCCAGATCGAAGCCTGCAGCAAGGAGGCCGAGAAGATCGATTCCCTGATCAACTACGCCAGCCCCACGCTGGTCTCCCACGTCCCCCTCTCCGCGTTCCTCGCGTCCGAGATCAAGACCTCCTACATCCGCTCGTCCGGATGCGCTCCGCCCTCACCCCTGCCCCCCGGCCTGTGCTTCCTCCTGGGGCTCCTCATTGCTGCGGCCCCTGTCCTCCACCAGGTGTAAGTGCTTATTATTTCCCACCCACACAGCCACTCCCTCACTAACTCTTGAGTGTTCCAAAGTACCCACGCCCCCCCCCATGAGGTGAGTGTGTGTTCGGGCGGTCATGGACCAGGAAGAAGCGTCGGCGACAATCATTCCTATTGACTCACCTGCGTGTCAAACAATCAAGGCGTCGGGAAAAGCTATTATTGTGAAGGAGCTTTTGTATGAACAGTGTTATTCAGTGGATGAGTTACTCACTGGGCTTCCCTTCCAGTGAAGTGTGTGTGTGTGTGTGTGTGTGTGTGTGTGTGTGTGTGTGTGTGTGTGTGTGTGTGTGTGTGTGTGTGTGTGTGTGTGTGTGTGTGTGTGTGTGTGTGTGTGTGTGTGTGTGTGTGTGTGTGTGTGTGTGTGTGTGTGTGTGTGTG